AATATATTGCTTTGTTGTGGTAAAATATACATAACATAAAATCCACAATTTGAACCATTTTTAAGTGTTGACTATACACCATTTAAACCAACAAAAATGTTTGCAAATTTGGGTTTTATCCAACAATGCGTGCATATCATGTAGATTTTATTCTTACCCCACCTCTGTATGAACCCTCTGCCTCTGCTTCTGTCAAATGTGTCTGTTCTCTAATTTTGGACATACTTTGTGCTTTCCTGCTTAATTAATTGTTAGTACAACCCTTCCCTTTCCTTTTCACTTCTGCTTTCCTGGTCAACACACCTTCCTGTTGGGCTCCATGGTAGACACCCATTAGCATTTACTCCTTGCCTCCCAGGGAATCTAGGTCATAAAGGGCACCCTCTTTGTTTATAGCACTTAATAGTAATTATAACATCTATGTTGTCTATATTGTCATTTACCTCTTCTATTAACTATTCACATGCTACCAGATAACTTCTTTTATTAAACTCTATGTATATGTCAAGTTCTATAGTAGATGCCAGGTCTCAATAGTAAATATGAATATGATTATTAATATTAAATATGATTTGTCTCCTTTTCTCCTGGGAAGTTTTATACTCTGGACAAAGGGCAGACATTGAACACTGTGTCAATCAGAATAGGCTATGTTGTAGTAGGCTAACAACCTTCAGCACCTTCAAACAACAAAGGCTAATGAATTTCTCGCTTACTCCATTCGCCCTGGTGGCTCAGCTGGGACTTTCATGGTCCTTACTCGTGGACCCTCCACACTGAGGGAGCAGGCTGCATCTGGGGAATTTTGAATCTCAGGAGCGCTGAGAAAAAGAGAACACAGTAAGTCCCAAACTAGCTCTTAAAACTCTTTCCTCACTTCTTCTCTTGTTTCATTGGCAAAAACAAGTGACACGGCCAGTTCTGACTTCAATAGTTGATGGATGTGTGATCTTCCCCTAAGGAGTGTGGGTATCATTTAACTGGATATACAGGCTATACACTCAAATGCACAATTACACATTTTTATGAGACTCAAAACCCTTTCAAAGTAAATTCTGTTACTTCTATTTGAATTTGGTTTTGAATTTTCTGAAATTGAAGGGTTCAAAGAAATGTATAAGGATAATCTTGTCCAATCCCAAATTGTTTGACCCGTGACTCTCAATCTCTGGGCCTCTGCATAAGAGTAGAGATTAAATTATTTTACATTACAGGAAGTAGAAAAAACATCGTAAGTACTTGCCATAAACTAAGTAATATCACACACATCACACACACACACACACACACACACACACACTACATACACATACACACACAAAGATAGATATATAGGACTGGGTGCAGTGGCCAGGGAGGCCAAGGCCGGCAGATCGCTTGAGGCCAGGAGTTTGAGACCAACCTGGGCAACATGTCAAAATCCTGTCTCTACAAAAAAAAAAATAAATAAAATAAAAAAATAAATAAGAAATACAACAATTAGCCACATGGTGGTGCATGCCTGTAGTTGCAGCTACTCAGTAGGCTGAGTTGAGAGGATCACTTGAGCCCAGGAGGCGGAGGTTGCAGTGAGCCGAGATCGCACCACTGCTCTCTAGCCTGGGTGACAGATCAAGACCCTGTCTCATAAAACAAAAGATAGATAAATAGAAAGATAGAGAGATAGATATATAGAGGAAGAAAGGAAAGAAAAAAAAGAGGAAGAAGAAAAGAAAAGATGCTAAGCGCTTATTCCATGGACCATTCTAAATGTTTTTCATGTATTAACTCAAGAGTCAACAAACTTTTTCTGTAAAGGAACAGATACTATATATTTTAGGTTTTGTGGGCCATGAGATCTAGGTTATTACTACGTAACTCTGCCACTGCAGTGCAAAAGTGGCCACAGACAATACATAAACAAATGATTTTGGCTGTGTTCCAATACAAATTTATTTATAAAAACAAACAGTGAGCTGGTTTGACCTTTGTTTTAACTTAGTTTATTCTGATGACAACCCTACTGTTATCTCCATTTCATAGATAAAGAGGCCTGTAGACGTACAGTAATTTGTAGAAGTGCAGTTGAGGCTTGTAGAGGTGCAATCATTTGTCAAAGTTCTCTCCTCTGGTAAGTCGGGGAGCCAGGCTTTGACAAAGGCAAGTTGGCTCCAGGGTTCATGATCCCAACTGTTACGATTCATTACTTCTCTAATAATGCTACTCTGCTGAATTCAGTTAAGCTATCGAAGTATGGATCAGAAAAAGAGGGTTGGGCTTCCAAGATATTTGGTCATTTTATGGATGATCTTTTCTGTCTAAACAAAGACAAAAGACACAAATTATTTGTGGTTTCATTGTGCTGGGGTTGTGTGATTTACTGAGCCACACTAAATACACAACAAGATGGTATACAAAGTGGTACAATGCACCATCTGAATCATTCTTGGCATACACTGACACACAACTTTGGGGGTCTTCAAGTTTCCTTCTGGTGCCTCCCCAGCAGGGTAGAAAAGAAGATAAAAACGTAGCAGAGAAAATCTGTCCAAGAATAGGGAAGAGTAGTCATGGCATGCTTACGTGGTGGGCAGCAGCTGATTTAAAGTTACTAAATCTGAATCCAAATAATGGTTCAATTTCTCTATGCAACCATGCATAAATACCTGTGCTTCTCCAAATCCGAGCTTTCAGGTCTGAATCATGGAGACAGTGTATCTACTTACAGATGCACTGTGGATGATAAAGTAGTTTAAGTAAGCGCAAGTGTTGGCTAAATTACAACGTCTTGTAGACATATGTAAAGTCGTTGCTGTTACTGTTGTCCTCAGAGGAAGGGTTTTGCTTTTGTTGTATTTCAAGGTGACTTAAGTATGGTTGACTGCATATAGAAAAGGAAGAATCCAAACCTATACTGACTGTAATTGAGTCTTTAAATTGCATATTTAAAGAAAATGACTAGCTTTTAAAATCCCAAGTGATTTTAGAGAAGACTCACAGAATTGTTCAGGCTTTCTGCAACATATTTACTCATATAGTTGGGGTGGAAGAAGTTGGATTTGCACTTGTGGTTTTCATAGAGTGGATAGTTTTTCTTGCCTATTCCACATGTTCTAATGCTACATAATTTTTCAGATTTGGCTCACTCGGCTATCATGATCTCCCAACCTACATCTGTTATCGATTTTTGTGTCCTTTCCTAGTTCTTTGCATTCACTTCTATTTGGCACAGGTTATTAGAGTTACTTGTCCATTCATTCAACTAACATGTGGCTGTCTGTTGTGGAGAGGCAGTGTACTAGATGTGAGGGACACAAAGCTCGTGAAGTAGATACGGCTTCTGTCCTCAGTTGGTGTATCTCTCAGTTAGAATCTGTTACTTGGGGGGCAACTGGAGCTCTTTCTCCCTTCCTACTAGGCTGAGAATATGGAAACCAGGTCCCCAGTTAATTTAAGTTGTTTTTTTGATGTTTAAAGAAAACATCCATAAACTCAAGAAGCTTTCTTATGAATCAAGTTTTCAAGTTTTATAGCATTTGCTTTGTACTACTTGTTTTGACCCCATTGAGAAGTTTTATTTCTTCTGTTCTCCTGATTCTTTACCATTTTAGCGGCAAATACGTACTTAGCATCCACTATGCGACTGATGCTTTGGAAATACTATGGAAAACTTGGTAGCAATGAACCCCCTGCCTTTAAGGAGCTTATATTCTATTTTAGATTAGGGAAGCAGGAAGGTCTCTCTCTATGTCCAACAGAATGATAAAGAATGAGCCACATAAGTGGTGTCAAAGAGGAATGCAAAAAGACAACATGGCTGGAGCTGAGTGAAACTAAAAAGAAGACAAGGTTGACAAGAGATGTGATTCAGATCACCAGAGGCTGGGAGACAATGGAGAGCATTTTGATTTTATTCTAAGTTCAATGGAAAGTCACCAAAGAATTGTACGAAGGAGTATAACATAGGGTTTGACACAGTGGGTGAAGATGATCACACTTGCTACTAGAGATGAGGAGTACACTGTAGAGGGGAAAGTATGGGATCAGATAGGGGGTTATTTCAGGTGTCTACATAAGGGATGATGGTGACCTCAACTGGAAGTAGAGCTGAGTGGAGAGATGTGAGATACATTTTCAGATAGTAGGAACAGGACCTGCTGGTGGGTGTGTTGACATGGGCTGAGGGCAGGGATGAGGCAGGAAGATGGTAAAATCAAGAATATTCCTGGGTTGAGCAACACTCCACTGTCTACTCCCTGTGATGCAATTTGGCATTTCTCAACTCTGCCTTCCCTCCTAAAAATCATGAATCAGTAATTTTTTTTTTTTTTTTTTTTGAGACAGAGTCTTCTGTCGCCCAGGCTGGAGTGCAGTGGCACGATCTCAGCTCACTGCAAGCTCCACCTCCTGGGTTCATACCATTCCCCTGCCTCAGCCTCCCAAGTAGCTGGGACTACAGGCTCCCGCCACCATGCCTGGCTAATTTTTTGTGTTTTTAGTAGAGATGGGATTTCACCATGTTAGCCAGGATGGTCTCGATCTCCTGACCTCATGATCTGCCCGCCTCGGCCTCCCAAAGTGCTGGGATTACAGGCGTGAGCCACCGTGCCCAGCCCTCAGGAATCAGTCTTATATTAATTTTATTTTGGGTTCTGTATCTGTTGAATTCCATAAACATTTCTCATTTTTTTCTGGTTACTCATCTATCAGAAATTGTGTAAAGTCCATATTTTTTCAAATTTGGACCTGTAAATACCAAAGATTTAAACTACTAATAAACATGTACTTAATTTCAAAAAGAGACTACTAGATGTAGGTGAATAGGGTTTCCCATTTCCTGAGAGGAGGAAGAGGTGAGAAAGATTGTGTGGGGAAAATTGAGAGGAAAATGGGGCAGCAGTAAAGGAGAATGCCAGCTAAAGGGAATTTGGTTTTGTTGCTGTTATTTATGTGTTTTTTATAAAGATGAGATACAGTCAAGCATGTCTGCACACTGAGTACAGTGATTCAATGGAGAATAAGATATCGTGGTGCAGATACAAGAAAGATAAAAGAACAGAAGGAATGACATCCTTGAGAAGGCCACAGGGTGGGGACTCCCAGCTCCTGCAGCAGGATCTGCCTTGAGTGGGTGACTGGGGTGGGTGCAGGGCAGAGAGAGGTTCTAACTGAGCAAGTTTAGGATGAGGACTTGCACTCCAGAAAAGACTGGAGAAGGCCCTGAGAGAGCTGTTAGGAGGGAAGCCAGAGATGAGAAATGTAGAATCTCATCTGAGGCAGTGAAAAAGGAGCCTGCTAGACACAGGATGGTGGGCCTTTGTTGAGTGACTCTTCCATATGAGGAAAGTGCCTGGATAGCTGGTTTCTGGAGAATTTAAGTATTACTGTATTATACATTATAATGCATCTTTATATAATGTTTTTCTCTTATTCCCCAAGATATTTCATTTTCTTTTGGAAAATGTGGACAGTCAGTCTCCATGTATATCTCTGTGGTTTCTAGCTCTTTCTAAGAGCTTTTTGCTTTTGTTTTTGAGACAGAGTCTTGCTCTGTCGCCCAGGTTGGAGTGTCATGGTGTGATCTCCGCTCACCGCAACCTCTGCCTCCTGGGTTCAAGTGATTCTCCTGCCTCAGCCTTCCAAGTAGCTGAGATTACAGGCATGTGCCACCACGCCCAGCAATTTTTTTTTTTTTGTATTTTCAGTAGAGACGGGGTTTCACCGTATTGGCAAGGCTGGTCTTGAACTCCTGACCTCATGATCTGTTCGCCTCGGCCTCCCAGAGTGCTGGGATTACAGGCGTGAGCCACCGCGCCTGGCCCCTGGTTTCTGACTCTTATATTAATTTTGTTTTGAGCTGAGTATCAATTGAACTTCATAATCATCTCTCATTTTTTCAGGTTCCTCATTCCTGTTTCAGAAATCGTTCATAAATGTTCATTATTTTCACATTCAGACACCTAAATAACAATGATTTAAACTAAACGTTTAACTTCAAAATGTATATACTATTTGCCTTTTTATGGTGAGAATATATTTGTATAATACCTATTTATGTCAACACAGCAACTAACATCATAAATATACTCTTAGATTAGAAAAGCTCACTTTATATAATCAGAGTATTTTCTCCATGTTTCTTATAAAATAACTGGTATGAATAAGCTATTTGGAATATCATTCAATTACTTACACCTCATTTCTTTCAAAATGTATTGGAGATACTTCCCAATTTGCAGGTGCCTGGAAGGTTGGAGTGATGAGTGTGTGTTTGTGTGGACGTGTGTTTGGATGTGTACGCACACAAAGGTTTCCCCTTCCCTAATCTAATCTTTTTTTCTTTTTTGGCCTGACTTCTATACACAATTTTCTTAGCTCTTCTGGTAGGTTATTTAGGAACTCAAAAGTGCTGGGCAATGGCTTTCATCTCCTGTCAGGCTTCATTCTTTTCTTCGGGGGAATGTTATGCATTCCAGAAGACTCTCCTTCCAAGCATCATTCACGTGGTCATGCCGTCCAGGTGCCTCTCACCCCACCTGGAGATGAGGCTGTTCTGTTTTCCTACTTTGGTAATCCCCACCTCTGTTCTAAGGGCCTGGCCAAAACACGGAAAGTCTTACCTTTTTTTTTTTTGATCCGATCTTACAACAGTGCTGGTGACATTTTATTCTAGATAGATGTTTGCATGAGGGAGTTCTTAAAAAAAATTTTAAAAAAGATTTTTCTGTCTCTGAGCTTTTTTCATCTATTTCCTCCTTCTGTCATATTGCCAGAAGCTAATTGAGAGTCAGTTATGTTTTATTTTAACCCAGTGATACAAGCAATGATGAGTTTTCATGTTAGTAAAATGGGAAAATGAGATGTGGAGAGGCTGAGGGGCAAGATGAGAATCGGCACAAAAATCTGATTGACACAGCATTTTGCGAGAGGCAAGAATGTCCCTGTTAGGCAGGAAGCCCTGGGTAAGATAACCTGGAATGCGTGTATATGATCAGAACACAGGGCAAAAAACCGTTCTCAAGGCTTATCGCCACGTGAAGATTGAAAGACAAACAAACCTGAGTGAACTCATTGAAAAAAATCTTTTGTGCCTGGAAACATTCTGAAAGGGGCCCCTCCCTTGGGCTATAAGATCAATGGTGAATATCATTATCAAATCAGATATGGGTAAGCTTTTACAGCTCCCAGTTCCCAGTGACTATACCTTAAAGAACAAAACAAAACAAAAATACCAGTATCCGTAAGCAAGTGTTTGCTCTTGACCACATATTAATATTTACATATGAAAGTCTATTCTGGGGAAGGACAGTGAGGAAGATGGAAAAATCAATGAAAAGCTCCCTCGTGGAATTTGTAGAGGCCTTTCTTTCAAAGGCGAGCCCCTCCGCACTGATTTGTTTGCAGAGACCCACACAGGCCCTATATTTATTTAGTTCCTATTTAAAAAGAAGCTTTCCTCCTGCCTCAGACAGACTTCACCTTTCTGTTGCAAAAGATGTTTCCTTGAAATGAAAATGTAATGAGTGTTAGATCAGTAGCATGTAGCTGCCAGGCTATCTCTTTGATCCAGTTCGGAATGCATTTGTTAAAAAGCTGCTTTATTGATTTTTTTAGCTGCTTTTTGCTGTGTTTGGATCATTTGTACATATGCACATCACAATTTTTGCTACATCAAAGTGCTTAGTAAGTTCACTGCACTCAGGAAATAGCATACAAAACAAAGGAACTTTGCTCTAAAAAGATTTCTGCCACTTAACCTCCAATATGAAAGTTGTTTTTAATGCTTTTTTTTTTTTTTTCTGAATAGCTTCAAAATATTTTATGCAGTCTTCAATGAGTAAGCCAGAGCCCCGCCTCAGATCTCCTTTGAAAATGATACATTCTGGAAAAGGAAGGATTTGATAGAACGAGTAAATGCATCTCACATCCATTCTGCTGGACAGGAGTCATTTTACTTCAATTAATTATTTGATTGGCTCAATTTGCGGTGGCAGTAGCTTCCAGGAAAGTGTTGACAATATTTGATGTATGTGAGGATAGCTGTTAATTTAGTAATAAGTAGAAATTTACTAGGTAACTAATGTGATGTTTCTTTATTAGGTCCAATTATATGACAAAGAATGAGCACATTATAACCTTTAATGCTGATTTTTTTTTTTTTGTATCGTGTACATACAAATCAGTGTTAAGTGCTTTTAATTCTGAACAGATATTTCCTGGGGGCAGACTTGGAGCCAGCTCAGAGGAAAGCACGACTGGGAAGACAGAACTGAGTTTGCTCCACTTTTGGTCTCAAGCCAAAAGCGCTGACTGTGGTCAAGTGTGGGCTGCCCAAAGGAGCTGTCCATTCTAGCCTCCAACTAGACCCCTCGTGCTGGTGGTATTCAGGTGGGCTGTACCTCCTGCAGATGGACAAATGAACATGCATTAAAGATTTGATTTAACTCATTCAGTGAGGGAGCTAGGAAAATGTTATAACCAGTTGAAATGGGGATCAAAACCAACATTTATTTGTCAGCAATAGTGAAATGAATATGCAAATGGAGTCAAAACTGGTTTTTCCATGGGAATGGTGTCAGTGGGGAGGGAAACCAATTACACCCCTATGAGAGGGGCGGAATTTGTGGTGTTCATCAGTTACCTGCAACTTACAGGTTTGTAAAATAGCTCAAAGACAGTGAAAACTTAGAATGTGATAACCTCTAAAGTCTAGAAATTGTGTTATTTCCCATTGAAGCACACCTTTTTTTGTACACCTCCAACAGTGGGGCAGACACTCAAATCCTTTTCTTTTTGTCTTTAAAGTCAGGAAAGTAACTGACTTCAGGGGTTGGGTGAAAGTCAAGGGGTAAGAAAATAGGAGGCAGGTGATAACTGTGGGCTTCCAGTAATATTTTGGTAAGTGTAAAGGAAACACGACCTAAAATAGCAATGCATCAATTGAGTATTTAAAAGCCTTTTGTCTTTTTTAGAAATTTTGTCATTGTGGTGGTAGTTGATATAAAAAGTAGTTTTCCCCTTTCCTGAATTTTATCTTTTATTTTCTCTTTCTATTTTTTTCCTTCCCTCCTTCCTTCCTTCCTTCCTTCCTTCCTTCCTTCCTTCCTTCCTTCCTTCCTTCCTTCCTTCCTTCCTTCCTTCCTTCCTTCCTTCCTTCCTTTTTCTTTCTCTTTCTTTCTTTCTTCCTTCCCTTCCCTTCCCATCTTCTTTCCTTTCTTTCCTTTCTTTCCTTTCTTTCTCCCCTCCCCCTCCCCTTCCATGACCTCCTTCAGTGCCAGTCCACATTTTTGTTTTGATCCATCCCTTTGCACATTGGACTCTCAAAAACAGCAATTCCTAACTGCTCAATTGGATTTGCCATTTGGGGCCATCTCTGTGCATGGCCTCTAAATAAATTTACCAAGTCCCCTTGGTGCAAAATTGAGATATAGATGAATGGGTGCTACCTAAGAGAGGAACAGGGACACCTGGGTCTGGTGGAACAATGTCCCAAAAGCGCTACATGACTTCGGCAAACACCGCTGTTTTCTGGGTGCCATCCCATCTTGTCCCCAAGCGGAAGTCAGAGGGTACTTAGCAGCCATGGCCTGGCCTGGCTGCAAAGAGCATCCAGTCAGCATCGTCATACACTGGAGCTTTGAACCAGTGATCCTCAAGCCTCTCCGGTTAGGTCACTGGGAATTTATACTTTCCTAGAATGCCCATTTTCTCGCTGTTCATCTCAGAATGAAATCTCACCTCATGTGACAGTAGTCATGAAACCCAAAGGCACAATGTGGAGAGGAGTTCACGAGAATGCCTGGTATGAGGAGAGCACCCCAAATCACTCTTTATGAGCTCACCTCAAAATCTCGGGCTCCACTTATTCCACAGTAGTTTTCTTGTTTTTGTTTTTCTATTTATAAAGATGTAATTTACATGTAATAAAATGTATTATTTTTAACATGTACTTCTTCTTTTGAACATATGCTTAGAGTCATACCACAATCAGATAACATTTCTGTGGGACCCCCAAACTTCCCTGGTGCCCCTTTTTTGTCATTTTTATCCCCGGTCTCCCAACTTTAGCAACCACTGTTGTGATTTCTATCTCTATATTTTGCTTTTTCTAGAATGTCATATAAATGGAATCCTAGAAATGCAACCTTTTGAGTCTGGCTTCTTTCACTTATAATGCATCTGAGATCCATCAATGTCGTCACTCGCATCAGTGCACACTGAGCCATATTCTCTAGTATAAATGAACCACGGTTTATTTTCTCATCTACTGAAAGTGAGGTTGTTGGGTTGTTTTTAGTTACGGGACATCATGAATACAACCAGTAGAAACATTAATTTACAGATTTTGTATGTGAACACAGTGTAGTGTTTCTGAGTTGAATGGCAAACAAATGTTTAATTTTATAAAAAGCTGTCAAATTGTTTTCCAAAATAGCTAATCCATTTGGAATTCTCACTAGCAGTATATCAGAGTTCCAGTTGTTCCATCATATTCTCACCATCATTCGGTATTGCCTCCCTCCCTTCTTCACTTGCTCTTCTCTTTTTCCATTATATTCTCATCATTATTTGGTATTGCCTGCCTGCCTGCTTGCCTGCCTTCCTCCCCTCCCTTCCTCTCTCTCCCTTCCCTTCCCTTCCCTTTTTCCTTCCTTCCTTTTATTTTCCTTTCCTTTCCCTCCCTCCCTCCTCCCCCCCTCCCCCTCCCTCTTTTCTTCTTTTCCTCTTCCTTCCTTCCTCTTTCTTTTTTCCTCCTTTCCTTCTTTTTATTTATCTTTCTTTCCTCCCATTCTACTAGATTTCATAGTGTTATCTTATATGGTTTAAATGAGATTACCTTAATTATTAATATGTTGAGCTTTTTTTTTACATGCTTAAAATCTTCTCTCCAAGTATCTGTTCAAATCTTTTGACTGGGCTGTCTTTCAAAAGCTTTCCAATTCAAATTCCATCTTTCCAAAAATATGAATTCATTAAGTCTAGAAAGTATCGATGGGCATATTTACAATGCCTGTGGATGCAATGGCAAAACAAACTCCTAGAATAGATTATTTTGTAGTTCCTTAATATGTAGATATTAAAGAAAGCAGTAATCAACTCAAGCCATAGTGGATTCACTAAGAATAAATAATGTGAAGGGACCCATTTCCTTTCTTTTTCATGAATTAACTTAATTTTATATTAGAATAGTTTAATGGATATATTTTATTTCATGCTTGTGAACAAAATGGAGAAATACGAACTATGTAACAATAAGTAAATTATATTTTGTTGAAAAACTATTACCCCAACATATTAATCTTTTTGAATCTGTCAAGCTGGAGGAATATTCCTTAGTAATTAAATTCAAAATAATGTAATCATCAAAAATATTCCAATTAAGTCAATAATAGTTTTATAAATATTATTAAATGTGTATATTTTATTCTTATTTTAGAAATATTACATATTATGATAAATCTGTTATAGTTTCATGGGAGAAGGATCCTCTGACATTCATCTCAGAATGCTATACTTCACTTAAAGTTTACCTCCTTTTGTTATATTAACCCCACTTCATGAGATGCTGTTTATTCTACTTTTTTAAAATGTGTATGTCTCACTTTAATGGTGTTGCTTTTGTTTTTTTAAAAAAATTGCTTATCTTTACATTTGAGATTTCCCTTTACCCTGTGGGTTTAAGTGGCATACTGCTTGCCTCAGCCTGTTTTGAGTAATTCTGAGGTAGAGGCAGGACAGATTGCGAGGGCTGACATGCCAGTGGCTGCAAAGTCTCTCCCCTTTTTCCTGGGTCTTGGTAGACACTTGAGTTTCTGCCGTGTTGTCCCTTCCACCTCCAGGTGCTTTTCCTGCCTGTGTTCTGCAGCCAAGTGCCCTGTGATTGCTATAAGAGGGATGAATGAGGACTGGGGGTGGGGATGCGGCAAACTGACCAGCTGCCACCTCTCCATTCTCCCAGTCATCTCTCTGATCATTGTCTCTGCACTAGCTCACAGTCTGGAAGCTTGGAGAGCCTCTTTTGTTTCTCCACTTTTTTTTTTTTTTTCCTCTGAGCTCTCTGTAAAAGCATGTTTTGGATTGTGCTCTCTTCTTTCAATTAATTTATATCTACCCTCTGTCTTTTAGGAACTTATTTATATTATTTGACAAAGCACAAATGTGCAGAAAAATCCTAGGCCTAATAAGCCCAGATGTTCCAGGTGCAGATTCACACTTCTCTCTCATGAAACTCCCCTTCCCAGGCCATCAGGGTGAAAGCAGGGAGGCAGCTGCTGTGAGGACAGCACTGTCATGCAGCACTAGAGGCCATTCCACACACCGCACCCACTGCCACGGCAACAAGCACCCCTCCTGCCCTCCTGCCCTCCTGCCCTCCCCCTTTAGAGGATATCGTGTGGAAGTTCCATAAAGGCAAAGACCATGGAGAGTTCATCAATGATTTTAGCCGGTAACGTTTTAAAATGTATTTATTCACTCTTCGTTTGGATTTTCTGCAAACGGAGTACACATTTCGATAGGCATCAAGCAGCCTGTTGATTTCATGTGCACTAACTAGCAATTTTCTTCTTATCAGAGATGCTTATTGAAACATGAGCCTTTCATTTCTTAATGCAATGCCACCTTTTTAATCAGTCCCGCACAGCTCTTAATTCAGGAGCGAGACTGTTAGTAAACAAAGTTCTCCTTAGAAAGCAGACCTGACAATTCCTATTGTTCGTGAGGCTTCACCTTCACCAAGGCAGCCATATTGACAAAAGTCCCAAGTGTGTTGCAAAGCAGACGGGTGCCGGTGTTTTGCCTGCCTCACATTGGAACACCCGTCCCCTGTCTGGCATTGCTCTGCAATAGGAATTTTGGTGGGAAAGGAGAAGTTGCAGAATCTGAGTCAGATTGTAGCTTGTAGCTACTCTGTGGACACCTGACCTAGCTTCTTCTAAGTCAATGCTCCTTAACTGAGCACAGATTTGACCCCAGAAGTCATATGGCAATGTCAGCAGACAGTTTCAACCATAATGACTGGGAGGGAGCTGCTGGCATCTAGTGTGTAAGGACCAGAGGTGCTGCTAAACATACTCTGATGCATAGAATGTTCCCATGAAAAATAATTCTCTGGCTCCAAATGTCTACAGCACCAAGCCTGAGAAACCCTAGTTTCAGTTACAGTACCTGGGAGCCAGTGGATCTCCAGTGTCCTGCGTTGGTCTTGAAAGAGCTGGGAGGGGGCAGGCTGTGGCCTCTGGTGTTGTGTGATGGCAGCAGCAACATCCACTCAAGACTGGTTCTGTGCCTGGCCTTTGTTCTGGGTGTTGGCTTCTGCCTGGCTGTCTTAGAATGTATTTCTGGTGCCTGAGACCATTCTTAAGTTCTGTGACTCACTAGAAGGGCTCACAGGGCTCAGTGAGACTCAGGACTATGGTTCATCACAGTGAAAAAACATGCAGTGGCATCAACAAGGAAAACAAATGCACCAGGCAGTGGCCTCTACAATCTTCCTGTGGATTTGCACAAGACACATTCATTCCTCCAGCAATGAACTTCAGTGATGTAAGCCGAGTGTCTAAGCCCAGGGAGGGCAGCTTGGGTCTCAGAGGCTAGAGCTTTTATCGGGGGCTGGTCACATAGGCACCTATTTCCAGGAGGAAAGCTGGTGACCACCATACATCATGCTGTTGACTTGGTACGAACCACCTAGATAAGCTTGGGCAGCAGGTGTCAGGACCCCGGGTGTATAAAACAAACATATTCATTAGCAGCACAGGGAGTATTGCAGGGCCAAAGTTTTCAGGAGCTGACCAAGGGTCAGTTAGGCCTTCCTGAAGAGATGTGAGACTGGCACTGTCAGGCAGCTAGCTCTTTCCTGCACACTGCAGTTGTCAAGACCTTCCCAGTCATTCTGTGCTTTCTTTAGTAACCTTTCAGTGAAGCCCTTTCTGCTAAAGTCAGACAAATTCAGTTATTTCTGCTTCCAACCAAGAAGAGGAGCTGACTCATACACAATGTAATTCAAAAATAATAACCGAGGCCACTTATGGTGTTTGCATTGATCTTGTATGCATGCGTGTGTGTGTGTGTTTGATTTGATTTCAGAACATTATCATTTCTATCAGAAAGTGGGCTTTCTTGAAGACTTCATGACAGCCACGCATGAGTCCATGGGCTGGTGTGGTAGGGAAGCACATTGTCTGCCTGTGGCGTTTAATGATATGCATTTTAAATATTTTTTCTTTTTTTAATAGCGACAAAGACCCAGGACACATGCAAAGACTACCCATATCACATGTTTCACCTTTGTTGGTTGGTATAGAGCTGTCTGCCCAGGAAAGACTTTAGCTCCATCTGTCTGCCTGTTATTACACATTCCAGGCCACTTAATACATCCAGCTTAGCTGTAGTCTGAAGTACCCTGCTTTTCTTAGGTTTGAAATGAATGTAGCTCATGCAAGTAAGATGTGTTGTAGTCTCTTAGGAAGCAATATCGCCACTCAAAGTAAAGAAAGATCTCAGAAAGAAACGGTACAAATTTGTTGGGGAGTATTTAGCCATGTTGTCTGGCTTTCTTACCCACCACATGTTTTGTTTTTCAAAGCAATTAAAGATAATGATGAAGAGATCACTCTTAAAGTGCTCGTTTTTTACTTTTCAGATTTATTAGAAAGCAGAATTTTTTAAAAAAATATATAAAGCTGACAAAAATTATTCATAGAGTCGTCATTTAGAGAAAATTGTTAATATTTTGGTATATAATGTTCCCATCAATTTTCTTTTCTTTTGTTTT